ACCCACAAGCCAACACAGTATAACACATTGATAGATGAGTGTGGTTGTTGTGCTAGGTGCTTTATATTATTTTATTAAGACCTCTCAGAAGTCGATGGTTATTTTAGGGGATGGTGAGCTCCCTGTTACTGAAAGAAGCCCAGCCCAGCCTACCTTTTTATAGTAGTGATAACCTATGCTCTGCTTCCAAGACTTGCCAATGCCACCCAGATCCTTCTGGAGCCAGCTTTCTACTCAAATGTAGGCTCTGTCTCAGGGGCAACTTCTGCAACCTGGATTTCCAATACAGCTTCAAGGCTCCACCTCCCTATTGGATCACTGCAAGTGAGGGGCTAACTGGTCCATATTTTCCAAACCTGATATTTCCTAGCCTTTCTTGAATGTTGACATGAGCCTGTGTATGTTTGTTGATGTGTCTGTGATAAGAGCTGGGTGGTGGAGGAAAGCCTAGGAGATCTACGAGTTTATGAGGGATTGTGTGGCAGGAGATACTAGTGAGTCAGGAAATACTGTTTATACACTTACTGGCCAGTTATGACCATTATCATACACCTGCAGTCTTAGACTCACCCAAATCCTGAAACCATTTAGGTTAAGAAATGATCTGCGCAGTGAACAGTATAGCTATTAATCAGAGTCCTAACAGGAAACAACTCAGCTCAGATGGTTCAGACAAAGAGACTTTAATGAAGGAACCATTACCAAGGTGTGAACAGGGAATGAGCAAAAGAACCTCAGATGCATCAGGCATACTCCGCCTTCAAGACTGTCCCACTATCTGCCACATCACTCCAGTTGGTACCCATATGGCTCTCTCTTCTCATTCATGTCTTTGTTACAATGCCACATTCTCAGGAATGTTGCAACTGCTTCTCCTCAGCAATCTCTCCATTCCTCCCTGCCTTAATTTTTCTTGCCACTTAGCATCATCTGATATTTCTGTATTTCAATGATTTGCTTTATTGTCCTTCTCCACCCACCAGAGCCTGGGCAGAGGTTTTTGTTTTGTTTGTTGCTGTAATCTCAGCACCTAGGACACTGCTTGGCTTGAAGAAGGTGCTCAATAAAGCTCACAACGCAGAAAAGGATAGGAAAGAAGGATAAATGGAAATGGTAAATACAGGGAGGAAGTGGGAAGAGTGCTGTTACATTGTGGGGATTACAATCAATGTTACAAAACAGTGTTGAGTGAATGAAGACTAATTGGTCTTATTAAAACTCATAGAGAAAATTGCACAGAAGTGACATGTGGTCCATCCTCCTGCTTCAATTTGCTGATCCCACAACTTGTCAGGTGAAGTCAGCTGAACGTAAAGAGCTGCCACTTGGCCACAAGAGGGCAATGTTGATCAGTTTTTCATTTTTCACATGCCTTGTTCTGAGACAAGATGACCTATCAGTTTGGTGGTTAAAGCACTTGACTGCTAACCAAAAAGTTGGCAGTTTGAACCTACTAGCCACTCGAGGGCACATAACAACAACAACAACAGCCACTCCATGGGAGAAAGATGTGGCAGACTGCTTCTGTAAAGATTTAGATTCTTGGAAACCCTATGGGGCAAAAAAACCTGTCTTTGTAGGGTCGTTATGAGTCAGAATTGACTTGATGACAGTGGGTTTGGGTTTTTGGCTTTTTTGTTCTGAGACTATCTTCTCCCCTTGCCACCCGAGAAAGAAAACATAGGACAGGGCCATATCTGGGACCAAGGCAGACATACACTGTGTCCCTGACTTTGTTGTCCATAGGAAATTCAGTTAGCACCAATATCAAGAACAGTCTTGAAAGGAGAAAAGTCACAAGAAAGTAAGAGCTTGAAGAATGTCTAGGAGGGACCTCTACCACTTAGTGTCAGTAACCATGGAAACACTACTAGCTAGCCAGATGACCTAGTGCCTTATGTCACCCCCTTCTACCTCTTTTCCCCCTGCACCAATAAGGATAGTACCTGCAGAAGTGAAAGATTTCACAATATACGTTCTAGGTTTATTGTCCCTATTTTTCACCCTCCAGATACTCTGAAAAGAAATACAAACTCTCCAAGAAAGTATTTTCTCTTAGAAGTATTTCATAAAAGACATTGATTGTACTGGGGAGTCATGTGGGATGGCACAGAAATAAGGAATCATAGGGCCCACAACCAAGGAACACACTAATAAAACTGGAAGGTGGAGTGGGCAGGACAGAAAGGGAAACTCAGTGAGAGTGCTAGAAACATTTGGAAGAAGAAGGAGGCTGTCTCCAGTAGTGAGGGATCAGAGCAGGCATTATAGAAGAAATAGTATTTAAATTGTGATTTCAACAGTACATAGGCTATGAAATTGTATTTGGCAATATCTAAAGCACTTTCTGATTTCATACACTGCCTTTTGCATGGCACTTGAATTTTGGGGTAAATAATTTCTTTTGAGTGTAAGTGACCACCTGTGTACATGGAAAAGGTCAGCTTTTCAAGCCATCCTACTCCTTTGGGACAGAGCAGAATATAAAATAAAAGAGCTGTAGGGAGCATGATGTGTTATGGAAATAGTCGGAAGGCACAAGCTTTAAGTCTATCTGAATGGTTCCTTAACTGAATGCCTTTTGTGGACCTGCAAGGTAACAAGAAAATGTAACAAATGAGCATAATCTTTTTCTTTTTAATATGGAACAAGATGGAAGTTCCCATGGAATATTATAGGTTGAACGGTGTTCCTCAAAAAGATGTCGAAGTCCTGACAAGTGGTACCTACGAATGTGATCTTGTTTGGAAATAAGTTCTTTGAAGTTGTCATCAGATGAGGTCATATTGGAATACAGTGGTTCCTAACCCTAGGTGACTGCTGTCCTTATAGAAGAAAGGATGCACAGAGAGACAGAGCAAGGATAGTCATATGAAGATGCATCCACAAGCCAAGGAACATCTAGAGTTACCAGAAGCCAGGAAAAACAAGAAAGGATCTTCCAATACCATATGACCCAGAAACCCCATTACTAGGGATATATCCTAGAGAAATAAGAGCTGTGACATGAACAGATATATGCACACCCATGTTCATCATGGTATTATTCACAATAGCAAAAAGATGGAAACAACTTAGGTGTCTGTCAATGAATAAAAAAAAAAAAACTGTGGTACATATAAAAAATAGAATAATATGCAACATTAAAGAATTATAATGAATCTTTGAAACACCTCATAACATGGGTGAACCTAAAAGAACATTATGTTGAGTGAAACTAGTCAATCACAAAAGGTCAAATATTGTATGAGACCACTACTGTAAAAAATCAAGAAAAGGCTTACATATAGAAAGAAACATTCTATGAAGGTTAGCAGGGCTGGGAGGGGTAGACACATATATATTAACTTAGGTGAAGAGAAAGGCAATACACAATAATGGGGAGAACAGCACAAAATTATCAAGGCAGAGGAAGACACTGGGAAGAGCCCAAGAGTTAAAGGCAGCAAAGGTAAATACTATTACATACACAATCCTGTAATAACAATAACCTACAAGTGGATACACAGACACACAAGTTGAACAGGCAGGGAAAGGCAAATGAGACTACACTCCTGAATACATACAGATTTGACAGAGGGTATGTCTACATATATATCCACATGTGCTGCAAATATATCCCTGAATATAGTGAAGCGTACAGGGGCAAAATTATGAGAATTTCATAACCAAACACCTAGAGGGAATGAGTTGCTGGGCCTGGGGTTGGGATTCATGAAGGTCAACTGGCACAACATAGTCCACGAAGACCATGTTCTACATCCTACTTTGGTGAGTAGTGCCTGGGGTCTTAAAAGCTTGTGAGTGGCCATCTAAGGTGCAACTATTGGTTTCTCCCCACCTGGAATAAAGAAGAGTGAAGACAATCAAAGACATAGGAATTAATTAGTCCAAAGGACTAATGCACCATTTGAACCCCAGCGTCCAAGACCATGAGACTAGATGATGCCTGGCTACCACTGTTGACCACTCTGAAAGGGATCACAATAGGAGGTTCTAAGGAAGATGTAGGACAAAACTCAAAAGAACAGAAAAGACTAGGCTTACTGGACTGAGAGATTGGTGGAATCCCTGAGACTATGGCCCTTAAACAACCTTCAAACCTGGAATTGAACTCATTCCCATGGCTCAACTTTCAGCCAAACAATAAATAGGATTATAAGATGAAAAATAACTTCAGGGAGGTGCACACTCCTTAAAATAAGCAACCACATGAAATCAAAAGGGCATCATTGGCTCAGGGATAAAGCTCAGAAGGCAGAAAAGGTTAGGAAAGAAGGATGAATGGAAAAGATAAATACAGGGAGGCAGTGGGAAGAGTGTTGTTACATTGCAGGGATTACAATCAATCAAAAAAAATGTGTGTGAATTGAATGGTGGATGGAAAACCAATTTGCTTTGTACACTTTCACCTAAAGCACAA